TATATCTTGAGAATAGAGGCGTGATTGGAGCCATAGAGGACGGCGAAAGAAGTCAGAAGGAGTGGAACGCAGAAGATCAGGAAAAACATGATCGGGTTCTGGCCGGTCGACCGCGGCACCCATGCCGGTCGACCGGAGAAACCTGCACAAGGCAGGGTTTGCAGAAGCGCTCTGGCCGGTCGACCGGACCAGGATTGGCGGTCGACCGGATCGCGATATTTGGCTTTTCCTGCTTCGTTTTGGATTCTGTTTTGACAGGGATTACTGATCCTTTTGGACTTGTTTATTTACAAGATTACCATCACGTTGTAAACCCTATAAATAGGGATTGTTTAGGGTTCTAAACAAGGAGGTTAGAGGCCAAGATGTAGTCCTAAAGGGTTTTAGGTCTAAGTGAAATCCTGATCAAAAGGATTAGGGTTTAGATTGTAATCAGATCTCAGAGAGAAGTGATCAAGAGAAATTCTAATAATTGTATTAGGGTTTTAGAGAGAGAGTTGAGAGGTTGTTCTCAATTCTAGCGAGATTGTGAGGGAGAGATTGTAATCTTTGTTCTTCATAATCTAGAGAAGGTATTTTCCTTCGCCTTATACTGAATTGTTCTTGTATTTTGGTCATCCTCTTCTCAACCCACCTTTTGATAATTCCGCGACCAAAGGGTGCTCACACGGCGACTCGTATCATCTAATGAAAATGAAAGAAGGTATATTGGAATATGCTTTATTCATGCACAAGATACAAAAGAAAAGAGACAATAAGCCAAAATAATAACTTCGTCAAAGTTCAGATACAAATACAGGCACATAACAATGCACATATTCTTCTCATGAAAATTTACTCAGGTTGATGACACAACTTGATTCTCAATTTTCCCTAAAACCATTTTGAGATCCTGTTGTATTGCAGCTCTCGACCGGCACATAACTGCAGCGTCCCAGAATGAATACGATCCACATTTAGTGTCAGAGTTCGGGTAGAGATCGAAAATAGACTGTGCATCCTCATTCAGCGCCTTCAACTTCTGCAAGCATTCAATCTCATCAGGATCAACCAGCAAGTTGTTATCGCCGTCTTTCCATGCTATCAACTGCACAAACATTCAATTTATTGTGGATATTAGTGTTTGGATATAGAAATGGAGAAAATATTCATGTTTATATAGCACCAATTAACAAATGGTTAGAGGCTATTGGATAGATTTCCATGAGAAAAAAAAGACGGTTAATTGCACATAAACCTCATGTACTATCTGCCAACTGCAGATAGACCCCTTGTAGTTCTATTGTTGCAGATAACCCCCTGAGTGTAATTTATTAACTCTTTTACCCTCAGGAGGTCTATTTGTCAAAAAATAATAATTTTTTGCTTTTCTGAGGGCAAAAGAGCCAAAATTTTAACTCGCGATCTAGCTGCAACAGTAGAACTACAGGGCATTCATTTTAATTGGGCGATAGTTTAGGGGGTGTATCCATGATTAACGCTATTCATTTTCCATAAATAGGAGAAAATATTCAGTGCCGGTTCCAGATATGGCCAGCTTGTAGCCTCAGTGTAAGTCTTTGAATATAGGAGAGGTAGTGAGGCTATTGATAGAGAGGCTTATGTTTGCATACAGAGCTGTTTTGAGCTTTCATGCTATCTGGTAGTAAGATTATTTACTTATATTTGCATACAGAGCTGTTTTGAGCTTTCATGCTATCTGGTAGTAAGATTATTTACTTACTTACCCACAAAAAGGGAAAAAAGAAAAAGAAAAAAGAAAAAAGAACTAGTGGCTAGTGGTCAGAGACCAGATAGTTTAAAAGAAAAGACCGTAAACAGACCTTGGGAGCTCCCATTGAGGTGGTGCAATAGAGTCGTGCATTGTCGACTAGCTTGCAATATTTGGGGAAGGCAGTGGCGAATCTCTTGTGGGATTTCAGCTGGGACTTCACCCTCACTGCTCGGCCCATAATTATCGCTCTCCTGCAATAGAGACAGTAACTGGTCACAACGAGGGTGTTTACATGTTAAGCCAATTAACTGAAGATGTATAAAGAGCGTCAAGATGTTAGTATTAAAAAAAATTATAATCAATAACCCTCGTCATAACTTCGGAGTTTGTTGAAGTGGTAGGAGTTTTTAGCTCAGGTTCAATTTCCATTGGACATGCATTTAAAGTGTTTATAAAAAAGTACCACTGCGTGGAAAAACTCAGGACTGACATGTTTGTGTTGTTGACACATAAAATTATATATGATTCTCAGCCTCATCATACCTTCCAAGTATTAGTGCAGTGGAAGACACTTAAAGACAATATAATCATATTAGTTCGACTGAAATCAATATGAAAACTTTATTTCTGGACTTCTATTCAAATTTGGCAATTATACTTCAGTTGTACTAGCTTTTTGGATTAATTGTGGATAGACCTCCTATACTATCATTCAATTGTGGATTGACTCCCTGTACTATCGCCCAATTGCGGATAGAGCCCCTGTAGTTCTATACTACTATTGTTGCAGATAGACCCCCTGATTGAAGTTCTCTTACTATTTTATTCTCAGAGAAAAGACAATTATTTTTTAACAAATAGACATCCAAAGCGTCAAAGAGGCAAATTTTTTTTTACTTGGGGGTCTGTTTGCAATTGGACAATAGTACAGGGGGTCTATGTGCAACAATAGAACTAAAGGGGGTCTACCCACAATTTGGTGATAGTATAGGGTGTCTATCTGTAATTAACCTTTTTTTTTCTCCCTCTCGTTTCTTCAGTTCGCATTTGTTTGTGTTAAGTTTGATACCTGATTCCTCTAACAACTGCAAGATAAGCATCACACACAACACCAACTAGCTCAATCCTGTAGGGCTTCCTCATTCTTAACTCTTCACTTGCATTTTCATCATCTTCAATTTGCTCCCAGTAATTCTCAGTTACTGATCCATCTTCTTCTTCCTTGTATCCAATCCCCATTCTGTATCGATGGCGATGAACAGCCCTAGCCATAGCAATGGTTTGCTCCACAAATGGCTCCCAAGCTAAAGTGCCATCCATTATTACATCTCGGCCTTCGTTGAGTGCTGTTACTAGGAGTGAAGCTGCTGCATCTACAGATGACTGGTGGACCTGTACAAATTTTGGATCTATTAGTAGTTTGTTATTGTAAGATACATGTTATATTTCTGGGTAAATTTCACAGAACTAGCAAGACATGACATAATTTTTTTATTGGAGAGAATTATCATGAACTTAGAAAACTGTAGAAAATACCATGAATTACTGGAAAGTTTGCTACTGGTGTTAACATCTTGGTTAAAAGGTCTAAAGTGCTCTAATGTATATCTGTTAACCACAAAGTTCGTAAGGATAATATAGAAGATACATAAGGTCATAGGAAAAACTGTCCAAGACGTGTCACATGTGAAACACAACTTATCATACTTGTGTCAGGCATGATAGTTTAGTCATGGTAGTTTTCTCTGATTTTTGTGTATATAAACCTTAAATCATGATTATTAGCAAAACTACCCCAAAACATCAACTTCAGAAAAAAAAAACCCAAATCAGCAAAACTTAAAGTAAAATTGCTAGATTAGCCTATCAAAGTTGATGATTTGTTGATTTGGGAGTAGTTTTGCAAATAAGCATGATGATCTAAGGGGTATATATACACAAATCTTAAGATAACTGGTTTTGTGCTAACATCCCAAAGTTCATGGTAGTTCTGAGAAATTTACCTTTATCTTTCTAGAGGAGTTACTACATGTGTTACTAACTGTACTTTTCCACTTTTTACTTTGTTACTATCCTTTTGAGGAAAAATAGTTGAATTTTCTTTTCTTAAGGAATTAGATGATGCATTGGTTGCATCAATTTCCCGATCTTTTTGTTATAATATCCTTGTATTTTCAAGAATATTATTGCTTTGTTTTATTATGTATGGATTATGTTATTGTTTTCCCTTATTCTGAAAAATGAACATATTAAAGAAAGGTTAAGGTATCTTTCAATGAACGTCATTGTTTGGTGCAAAAGTTGGTTCTGTTGAGGAATTCATTATAACTTTGTTCGATTACAACAAATTCGAAAGAATAATCTTTTTATAAGACTTTTTCTACACAACAAAACGAAAATTACAACTCTTGAGAAACAAACACAAAAATCGTCTATCGATCTTTGTTTTCGTGGGACTTTGCCTGTGCCGGGAACGCTTTGGTTCGTGGACCGCCGAATCACAGATCGTGAAGGGGGCTTATGATTCTGACTTCGTTTATCGAAGTGAGAATTGAAACGATATCTTATCGAAGTAAGATAGTCGTTCTTCTTAAAATCAAGTCAAAGCTTAATTTCAAGGCGTTGCAAGAAAAACCCAAATCTGCTCTCTCTCTGCTCTGGAATGCTCTAACAAATGCTCGATCCTCGTCAGAAATGACCCTAGGGGGGTATTTATAGCCTCTGGGGTAATAACTGCACAGAACTCAAACAAACGAAGAAGTTAACTGGCGAGACAGTGTTTACTGTCTCGCTGGTCGAGACAGTGTTTACTGTCTCGACCCGCGAGACAGTAAATTTGCTGTCTCGCTCAGCGAGACAGTAAATGCTGTCTCGGAAAATGGCAGTTTCTCGCTGTAACTGTTCTCTCACGTTTCAAACTCCGTTATTTTGGCAGTTATCCACGTGATTTTCGCCCATGATGTTTCCCACGTCCCTTGGCAGTTAATGGACACGTGTAGGGCAGTTACAAATGTAGTTTTGACTATTTCAACACTGTCTCGCTGGCGAGACAGCAAAGACTGTCTCGCTGGCGAGACAGTTCATACTTGTTTTGATTTTTCCAAAACAGTATGAAATCCTTTCTTGTGAATTTTTGAGTGATCTTCTCTATGCTTGGGATATCTATTAGCATTTTTTGACGCCTACAGATACCCCCTCCAAAGTATTCCAGACTCATTCTTTTATAGAGGAGCATGGGATACTTTGGATAAGATAGATTTTACTTACGATCCCTTCAATGCTTGGCTGAATAGATCGTATGAAAGGACTTGTAAATGGCTTCAATGTTTAACCTCTTCTGCTGTTAGTCTATCCAGTTCTTCGTAGAATAGCTAACGTTCTCCCGGCGTCGCGTTTATCGCTTGACCGTTGTCGAGATCTTGAATTGAAGTTGATACTTGCTCTTGTGAATTCAGCGTTTACCATTGAATTGGTATATCCATTGAGAATTCCTCAGGTTATCCTTAAGAATATTCAGATTAATATTCTCCAGAAACTTCCTGTTGAGGGTGGGAATACAGTTTAGACTCGTGTACCCATTGGAGTATTCCACTGTTCCATAGTGCAAAACAGAAAAGTTTACTGTCTCGCTCGGCGAGACAGAGTTTTCTGTCTCGCTGGGCGAGACAGTGTTTTCTGTCTCGCTCGGCGAGACAGAGTTTTCTGTCCCGCTCGGCGAGACAGAGTTTTCTGTCCCGCTCAGCGAGACAGAGCTATATAAGTCGGGACTTAGGGTTTTAGGGCTTTTTCACGTCGATTTTCTGGCGATTTTCAGGCGATTTCTTGGCGATTTCCAACCAGTTTTCTTCTATTTCTTCTCCTCTTTGTTGCCGACTTGGGAGGAGCTTTTGTTTGGGAAGATTGCACTTGGATTTCAAAGGTCTGTTCATCCCCTTTTCTCCAAAATTTTGACTGCTTTTGTTTGGGAAGATTGCACTTGGATTTCAAAGGTCTGTTCATCCCCTTTTCTCCAAAATTTTGACTCTCTTCACCCGTGACTGTGCATGCATTATTTCAAAGGTCTGTTCATCCCCTTTTCTCCAAAATTTTGACTCTCTTCACCCGTGACTGTGCATGCATCATTTCGGTTGTATTTGCCTTATTTTCTGTCGATTTCATGTTCAAAATCTTAACTTTCTCGTTGGATTTTACTGCAGCTTGTGTACTCATCATGTCACCGCGACGATCCCGCGCTTCCCGAAGCCGACCGACTGTTCAGAGCCCTGAGGAGGCTGCCCCTGCTGTGATCTCACGTGGAGGTATATTTCTTTCACCTTTTCACGAATTTAAATACTGTATTTCGTCAGTTCCATATATGTCTCTGTATTTGCTTGCAGATCCTCGTTTGTATCCTTTGAGATACCCTGGAGAAGAGCCGGTATCCTCCTTTGAGGGGGTCGACGCTTAAAAGTGTTTGTTTTGCTTTGACAAAACACACTTCAGAATACACAGGGGCGAATTCATATCATCCCACGTGTATTGAAAGGTTTTGGTATGCCGTTATAATGCCTGTGCATAGTAACGCATATCTCCTTTATACATGTGATAGATGGAAAATCGTCACGCCTGCTGTGAGATGGCGACTATATCTTATGAAGTAAGATATACCGTTTTCTCTAAAATTTTAGGACTACACTTATACAATTTATGTGTATGTTTCTTTTATCAGTCCGATTTCCTTCTACCACCTTTGCTGCTGATGTGGTTACTGGCCGGAGTAGCGTGACCCACTCTTATTATGAGGGGATCCCGTTAGTTGAATCATCTCCCCAGTTCAAATCTGGTTATAGCGAAAATGCTAGAGAATTAATCCAGCGAGGTAGTTGTCGTGTTTTGCGACGATTAATCACAGATGCGACCTTGATTTCGGAGCAAGACTCAAATCAATGTATAAGGAAGCCGGATTTCTTGTTCGGTGATTCGGTGAAAGATCCAGAGGTCATTTTCTGCAAGTCTGCGCAATGGTTACACCAGAGTGGGTCATCGTTTTTATATCTGCCTTTTATCCCCCGAGATCACTCGCTATTAAAGTCCAGGAACCTATCGGTTGGACGTGAGATGTTCTGGAGGTTAACTGAAAACCACGAGCGTATTCATTGTGGTTTCATTGGGAAGGAAGCCACCCCAGGTTCCAGTGAAAGAGCTCATGTACGGGGACTTCATCCGGGTGTCTTAGGACAAGACAACATACCTCAGAATGAGAACATAGTGCAAGCCAACACCGTGAAGAACCGGTTAGCGGCAGCAGGAAAAAGATTACCCAAAGAGACTTTTAGATGCTATGGATGGGTCCATTATTCTGGGGACAAATGGTGGTGGACCAGGATGACCCGATATGTGTTAAACCGTTTTGGGCGAGAGTTAGCAGAATTAGGGTTAGATGTCCCGATTCGTGCCAGCATGCATAGCCTGCAGAGTAGTGTAGGTCATTTCCTCTGTTTGTTCGAGATCTATAACCCGGACACTAATACATTCTTTACTAAGAACGGGGAACTCGGACTACCACTGCATGAAATGATGCAGGTGTCTGGTTTGCCTATGAGCGATGTTCTCTATCAAGAGTTCTTTCCAACTAGCAATCAACTGAACAAGATGAAAGATAGCTCAACTGTGACTCATGATATTTTATGGGAATTGACCTGCCATTATCATATAGCCATGGCCGAGATGGAGCCCAAAGCTAGAAAGAAATCTCCTCAGGTCAGCTTGAAACAATTCGCCGATTATCTATTCAAGAACTTGGATGACCGTTCGGCAGATGTATGTGGGTTGTCTCCTTTGAATTCGGGCGAAATCAATCATCTGTTAAAGAAAACAAATTCACAATCTTATACCTCGCGCTCAGAAGACGGATTTTCGCATGGCACTAAGTTCCGCTCTTATCTGTGGCAAGCTGGTGTTCCAATTAGCCCTACTGCTCTGCTGGCGGGTTTTCTGGCTTTATGGCTAAAGACTTGCGTGGTTCCCCACCAGTCCGCAGATGCAATGCCAATGGAAGTATTGTATCCCGCCGTCCAGCTGACTACAGGTCGCAAATTATCTTTGCTTCCCGCTATGGTGGCCGATATTCATAGTGGATTATCTGGCCTTCCCGATTCATTCTTTGATAGAGGACTTGTAAGGCCTTCTGTCGCTCCGACCCAACCACAAGCTGCTCCGAAAAAACGTAAGGAGAGAGTCGTCATGGAGTATCCTAACCGGATGACGGTAGAGGTACTCAGCTGCGACGAAGAGGATGAAGAGGATACAGTGCCTCTTGTTCGTAGGCAAAGATCTCAATCTTCCACTCAAGCTCAAACTCAAGTTTCTCCCCGAGCTGAGTTACGCACTAAACATCGTCACGAAGGTTCTGATGCACGTCCTCTGAAGAAACAAAAGAAAGCTGCCTCTAAACCGCGCGTTCATCTTCCTGCTTTAGAAGTCGGCAGAGAAATCCGAGAAATGAATGAGTCGGATCGTGTGCCTCCTCTAATGACCTGTGCGCTTTCTCTCCTTTTAGTCAAATTAAAAGAAGCAGGTACAAGTAGTGAAGCTCTCGAATCTGCCCCGACCAACGAAGGTAATTAATCTTTGTCTTGAGCAAATTCGCTTGAATTTACGTGTCATTTATGATTCAACACGTTTTGTAGACGTCCCGATGCATGAGCCTATTGAAGGAGAAGCTACCCATGCCACCAAAGTCGATGATTTTAATAATTTCGACTTTAATATCTCAGAGGACGACCATCAGCAAATCCTGGATTCTTTGTTAGAGAAAGCTTCTGGTCCAGCTACCGGCTCAGATGTTGGAATTGGTTCACCCGAAGCAGGTCCTTCTGAGAGTAAGACTTTGGCTCTGTAAACTCTGTATATACATACGTATATATTTTGACTTGATTAATTATATAAGTATTTGAATTATAGGACCAGTTGCTGGAACTGATACTACTATAATCATTGGTACGTCTGATCGACTGGAGGGTAGTGAACTTGTGCCGTGGGCAGAAACCGAAGTTAATCTCCAATCATCTATTCCTGAATTCCAGCCTGCTACTCCTATGGATCCGATGATGATAGAAGTTACCGTCACCCCCCAGATCAGTCCGGTCGCAACAAAAGTGAGACCAACTGAAGAAGTTGGTACCTCAGCCGATGTTGTACCTAGAGCTGGCAAGTTTTACTCATAACTTGTTTCAAGTTCGGATTATCATTCCATTACGCTTATTGTAATTCTTTTGTTTGTAGAATCCCCTCTTAAGGAGTCTCTTAGTTTGGACCCGCCGTCTTCTGAGGCTTTAGTTGAAAAAGTCCCTGACGTAGCGGGTGCATCAACAGCTATCATTCCTGAACCAATCTTGACTGTTCAGGAATCCAAATTACTATCCTTGGGCGAAACAAGTCATGCTGAATGGTATGCTTTAGCTTGTTGTCTTGTATACATATATATATCCTGTACTGACTTATTTGACTTTCTCGCAATGCCTTCATCATTATCAAATCAAATCCAAGCGTTATTGGTTGATGACGATACGGACAAGTCTGTTATCTGCTCCTTCATCATTATCAAATCAAATCCAAGCGTTATTGGTTGATGACGATACGGACAAGTCTGTTATCTGCTCTAATCTCCAAGGCTTCATCTCCTTTTTGAACTCTATGGTCGAACGCATTCTCTTCAAAAGATCGTATTTTGAGAGTTATAAAAAATCTTTTGGGCGTTTTATATCAAGGTTCAGAGAGGAAGGGTATAACGACTTAGCCGATTCAGTCACCGCTTATTTGGATGACTTGAGGCAACATATTGAACTTCTGCAAACTCTTCGCACCAAAGGCATACCTTTTTACATCGCTTCTCACATGGAATCCAGGCTGCAAGCGTGGCGTGATTCCCAAAAATCTGCCAACTCTGAACTCCAAAAGTTAAGAGCCCACAGTCATCAGCTTAGGGTGAACGTTGGCAAAAGAACACAAGCCAAGGTCAACCTACGCCGAGATATAAAATCGAGTCGAGCGGAAATAGCTCGCTTAGAGGAGGAACTTGCAATGGCCAAGGATGCTCTTGATGTCTTGGAGTCTGAGTTGACGCAGGAAATTCATATTGAGGAAGACCTGTTACAGCAACTGAACCTTCAAGATAAAATAATTGCTGAAAAGGAACAAGAGGTCGCCGCGCTTCAAAGTGTTGATGAAGAAGCTTTCAAAATTAAATTGACGGCTGAGCTTGAACAGACTTATGCGTTAGAGCTGTCAAAACTTGAAAATCAAATTAGTCAATATAAACTCTTGCAATCTGAGAACATATATTTTTGTAGCTTCATTTGAACGTTTTTGGTCAACATAGTGAACTTTTTTGCTCATTATATTGAATCTTTTTGCTTATTGAGGTTTTATTATGATTACTCATTCTTGTTTAGAATAAATAACCATAATACTTATAGGATTTTTGGCAAATCCTCAGCCATCAACGGATTTGATATGCCTTTACCGATTACCGTTTGAATCGGGCTAGTATGTGAATTATCTAAGTCCGTTTCACATATAACGTTGCGCTAAAAGAATTAAACTCTTTTAGACTTTAAACTACAATGTTGAATATGTAGGCTACATGTGTTAGATGTAGGCTTATCTCTAATAAGGGATAGAGATAACATCCCCCATGTATGAACAACATGGATTTTAAAATGTGAATAGGTTGTGTTTCCTATATAGGACAACGAACCCGAAATCGGAGATGAAGAATTTTATATTCTATCTCCTGGTCTCTTGTTTGTTGGTAGAGATAAACCCGGAATCGGAGAGGAAGAATTTTATATTCTATCTCCTGATCTCTTGTTTGTTGGTAGAGATAAACCCGGAATCGGAGAGGAAGAATTTTATATTCTATCTCCTGGTCTCTTGTTTGTTGGTAGAGATAAACCCAGAATCGGAGAGGAAGAATTTTATATTCTATCTCCTGGTCTCTTGTTTGTTGGTAGAGATAAACCCGGAATCGGAGAGGAAGAATTTTATATTCTATCTCCTGGAGTAAAGAGGCTCAAAGTGAGATCTCCACTTAGAGAATCTGGATTGGTTTGAATAACCCTAACTGTCATAAGGTTTGATTATTCAATTCAAAAGTGGACCTTTCGTTCTCAAAAATGAATCAAAAGGAGATTTTGACTGTGGTCCTAACTGTAGTAAGGTTTGACCAAGTGGGGGTTTTGAGACAATCCTAACTGTAGGAAGGTTTGATCGCTCAATTTGTGGACCTCTCGTTCATGGAACGAATCGAGAGGGGATTTTGGTTTTGGTCTTAACTATTTAAAGGTTTGACCAGGTGAGGAATAGGAGTAGGGTGTAAATAACAATGAGTTTGTTGATTTGCACAAACTACTCGGTAGGAAATTTTTATTTCAAACATGAGAATTTGACATGAAGTAATTTGTCGACTGATACAGACTGATAACCTTTGATCAATCCGACCAGTGCAGATTTCGTGGTGTGAGGTCACGAATTATCGAATCTCATCTTCCATGATCACATTACAGGGTTTTGTGAGGAAAGATTAATTGTGATTAAATCTCATCTCAACAAAAGTAATATGAGGATCTTAATTATTTTTATAACAATTAAGAATAAATTATTCACATGATCAGTCTTCATTTAAAATAATTAACTGATATCGGGTTATTCTGAAATATCCTATACAGGATTCTCTAGGAACTTCCCGTTTTACATAGGTTATCCCGAACGTATTACGGATAATACTTTTTCAGGAACTTCTCATTTATTGGCATCATCAATCTGTTACCATCTTGAGTAATCAGGCGATATGCACCGTTTGAGTAGACTGTTTCTATCACGAACGGTCCTTCCCATTTTGGTTCAAACTTTCATTTCTTTTTGGAAGTGAGAATCATAGGTCTTCGAACAGCGAGGACTAGATCTTCTTCTTTAAAGCTTCGTCGTCGGACCTTTTTATCGAAAGCCCGAGAAATTCTAGCTTGATAAAACTCGATTTGTTGTTGAGCTTCCAAGCGTTTCTCATCTAACATCTCTAATTCTTCGAGACGTTTCTGATGATGTTCTTCCGTCGTCATTCCCGTTGTAAGAGCGATACGGAGGGAAGGAATCTGTATCTCCAATGGAAGGACAGCTTCACATCCATATGTTAAAGCATACGGGGTGGCTTCGGTAGGCGTGCGGACAGTCGTACGATAAGCCCAGAGAGCTTCGCCGAGTTTGTCATCCCAATCTCGTTTATTGGTTTTCACCAATTTTGCCAGAATTTTGATGATAGTTTTGTTAAAAGCTTCGGCCAATCCATTAGCTGTAGGATTATAAGCAGTCGACGAAACGTCTTTAATCCCGAATTTACCGCAGAATTTGATAAATGCGTTGCTCACGAACTGAGGACCGTTGTCGTGCACTATTCGCCTTGGCACACCATACCGATATATGATATGGTGTTTGATGAATTTGATAACATCAGTCGTTTTTACTTCTCTAAGTGGAACTGCTTCCGCCCATTTCGAGAAATAATCGGTGATTGCCAGAATGAAACGGTCCCCTTTAACCGAAGGTGGAAAAATAGGACCTACTATATCCATTCCCCAAGTTTCGAACGGCCACGATGTCGCCGAAGGATGCAGATATTCAGGGGGTATGTGCATATAATTTGCATGCAATTGACACACTACACATTGTCGTGCGTAATCGACTGCGTCTTTCACCATAGTTGGCCAATAATATCCGATTCTCCTAAGTCGGTCGCAGAGTTTAGGACCGGGCTGATGTGCACCGCATATCCCATTATGTGCCTCTTTGAGTGCTTGTTCCGCTTCTTTACTGGATAGACAACGAAGTAAAAGACCATCATAAGCTCGTCGATACAACATTTGCGCTGTGGCGTTGTAATAAAATCTCGGCGCTCTTCGCCGAATCGATTCCCTTTCTCTTACATCTTCAGGTAATATACCATGTAAGACATAGTCGATAATGGGAAATCGCCAATCTCGAACTTCGGGTTCAACTCCAGTTGAGTATACTTCTTTAGCGTTCGAATCGTAGATTGGAACAATAAGCTGGTGAGTCCTCACTGTAATCAATTACTCTGTTTCGGGAGGTTGAGCCAAGGATACTGATAATGCTGCCAATGCGTCTGCGTATGTGTTTTGCTGACGCGGAACGTACTCGATGAAAAATTCTTCAAACGAGCTTGCTATCTCAATGGCCATCTGGTGGTATGGAATCAGGTCTCGATTTCTGACTTCATACTCTCCTCGTATTTGATTAACTACCAGTTGAGAATCTCCAAAAACCTCAAGGTATTCGACCCCCAGCTCTTTGGCAAAATTAAGTCCGATTATTAATGCATTATATTCAGCCACGTTATTAGAGCATGGTTCGGTCAGTGAATATGCTCTAGGCAAGACGTGCTTTTCCGGGGAAACTAAAACGACCCCCACTCCTGAGGAGATTTTAGAACATCCGGGTGCACTTGCCACGTTGGTTGATCGAGAAGCCCCATCGAAGTACAATTGCCACACTTGTTGATGTGAGGTGGTATTAACTTCGTGAGTTTCATCGGCAGATCGTCGTACAATTCGACTACATCCTTCGTAGGGTTTTCTGCCAGAAGGTCGCAAATAGCTCGTCCTTTAACAGATTTCTGCTGTTTGAAGTACAAGTCATATTGCGATAAGAGTAAAGCCCATCTGGCCAAACGCCAATTCATGGAAGCCGGTTGGGTCATGAACACTCGGACGGGATTTATGTTGGAAATGACATAAATCGTCTGTCCGACTAAATAATGTCGCATTTTCTGAATCGCGAATACCAAGGCGTGGCATTCTTTCTCAATCATCGGATAACGAGATTCAGCTCCTACCAATGTATGACTCAGATAATACACAGCTTGCTCGTGACCGTTATCGTCATCTTGTGCAAGTAATGCACTTAACGAATGGCTCGTCGCTTTGACATAAATCAAAAACGGTCTGCCCGACTTCGGTGCAACGAGAATAGGTGGATTCGCCAGATATTTCTTAATATCTTCGAATGCCTTTTGGCATGCTTCATCCCAGACGAACGACACGCCTTTTTTCGCAAGTTTAGAGAACGGTTGACATTTTCCAGACAGATTTGATATAAACCGACGGATATATGCCAATCGACCTTGCAACCCCCTGAGTTCTTTAAGATTCCTCGGTGGTTGTAGCTCATGTATTGCCTTCACCTTATCAGGATCAATATGAATACCTTTTGTGGTGACGACGAACCCAAGAAATTTACCGCTCGACATTCCAAGGAAGGATTTAGTCAGGTTCATTTTTATCACGACTCTTAACGACTAGGTCATCAACGTAGCATTCGACTGTCTTCCTAAGGTGTTCTTGAAAGATCTTCGTCATCGCCCGTTGATACGTAGCACCGGCGTTCTTCAAACCGAAAGGCATAACGGTATAACAAAAGACGCCAAGAGGTGTTCTGAAAGCTGTATGCTTTTCATCATCCGGATGCATCTTGATTTGATTATACCCAGAAAATCCATCCATGAACGACATTCTTTCAAACCCGCATGTGTTGTCGATAATGACGTCCGTAATCGGTAGGGGAAAATCATCCTTGGGGCATGCTGTATTCAGATCTCTGAAGTCAATACAGATTCTGATTTTTCCGTTCTTTTTGAGGACTGGAACGATATTGGCCAACCATTCAGGATGTTGTTCCTCTCTGACAAAACCCGAGTCAATTAGCTTCTTAACTTCAGCTTCTATTGCCTCCATAATTTGCGGACGAAACCGTCTTTGTTGTTGCTTGACAGGTTTAGCATCCGATTTTATGTTAAGGGTATGCATTGCTACATTTGGGTCGAGTCCTGGCATATCTTCGTAGTTCCATGCGAAAACGTCGATATACTCTTTAACGAGGGCAATTAATTCCTCTTTTTCGTCTGGCGGGAGATCACCGCTGATAAATAT